GCAGTAGTGTGGTTGCGCCTCCAACCTTTCCATGGTGAAAGTCATGTGCCAGCAGCTCCATTTCTCCAAGGCCCTGCATGCCTGGTCCCCTGTGGTGTCTAAGGCAAGGCTGGAGCCCCAGGTTGGAGTGGGACACCCAGGGGACCAGAAGGGGAGCAGGTAAAGAAGGGGGGACTGTCTTGCAGCCGCTGCTGTCCCCAGATGACCTGAGGTAGGGGAAGCCCCAGGACCACTCCTGCCCTGCTCTAGCTAGGGGCTGCAGATGGCAGCCTCAGTGGGTGATCCCCCACCCCAGGGTCTGCTCCTGGACGTTGGGGACACCCAGGGAGTGGGCAGGGAGGAGGAGTACCTGGAAGTGGGGGATTGTTCATTGATGCTACTGTCCCCAGCCCTGCCTGGCCCTCTGCAGAGCTGCCTGCCACAGCTGCAGCCCTCGGGCTAGTGGGGGAAGTGCAATGATGGTGGAAGGGGAGGGAGCAGGGACCCAGCCCTTTGTGCAGCCCCAAGTTGGAGCAGTTCAGTAGTGGTCTTGGGGCTTCCCCTGCCCCCGGGTCAGCTGGAGATGGCAATGGCAGCAGCACTTCTGCTCCCTGCCCACCCCTTGGATGCCCCCGCTAGTCTGGGAGCAGATGATGGAAGGGGCGACCCACCTGTCACTGCTTATTGAAGGCCCTGGGACCCCCTCCCACCCGCAGGTGAGCTGGGACAGTGGTGGCAGCAGCAGGTCCCCCTTTCTTACACCCAGGGGCAATCTCCTGTCCCCCTGCTGAAGAGGTGGAGAAGGGAGTAAGAGAGGAGATGCCTACTGCAGAGGAGGGGTGCTGAGGAAGGAGTCTTACCTGCTTTGGGGACTGCAAAACATCCATGGCACCTGCTGCCATGGTGCAGCCACCCCAACGGCACTGCCAACATCTCCTGCTGCCCCATTTTGGATTCCTGAATCCACCCATGTCCAAAGCCAACTTTTCAATCATGATTTAGGGACCTAAGAGACTTTTGAAAATGGGATTTCAAATGGGAATCCTTAAATTTTTGCAAGTTGTGAGCCATGCACCTACCTTTTGAGCTCATGGGCTCAGGTGCCTTTGTTGCAACACAGTCAGGAATTGAACTCAGAGCTTCAGAGTCACAGGTCAAAGACTTACCACAAAACCAGCCTCTTTTTTTTTTTAAGGATAAATGCTTCCTGAAACAAATATATTAGGTGTAGTTGAACCAATCCTCCAACTCTGAACTCTAGGGAGTCTAACCCTGGCTGTATGTATAGCATGGGATGGCTTGAGCTGTTTATGCTTGACCTGGTTCCAGCAGATTCTGGACTGAGCTTCTGTTTTGTGTTGCTGAACTATTCAGCAGCTGTCATGCTCCGCTCCAGAGACACTATAAAAGGCAGGGCATCTACTGTCCATCAGAGGCCGGACATCTGCTGGTTAGGTTGTAGGTCAGTAGGAGATCTGGCTTCTCTTCTCAGTTAGCCATAGACTTGTATGTGATCTGGCTAGTCGCCTTAACCCTTCTGTGCCTCCATTTCTTCACACATAACATGTGGCTAATTGGAAATACATGAACTTTCAGGCATGCCACAAGTCTTAATCAATTAATAATCAGAAAGTACTTTGAGCTACACCTATTGTAAGATATTAGTATTTTAAAGAAAACTGTAAAGGCAAAACATGTCACAGCCTTAGGGTGGTGTCACATGTTCAACTTAATGCTTAGTGGCCAAGTACAGATGGGCAAAAGCCCTAAGGCTGAATTGATTCAATGTAGAAAAGTTTTTTCTAAGCTGTGTAGATTGAACCAATAAGCAAGCGAACAGACTTTCACTTTTGATTCCAGAAATGCAGCCACGTGTCTGCACACCTCCCTACTCAGCTGGAGCAGACAGCTTGGGCCAAGGCTAGCCCACCCACCCTGAGAGGGGAGCTTTGCGGGGGAGGTGCAAAGCATCCTGGGACTGTGAGTTAATTTGAATCTGGAGGGGATCTCAGACAGAAGGTCAATAAACCTATTTAACCTAAATCAGTTAAGTCTGATACGACATCCATCCAGGTTTACCTTAAACCAGTTTCAGCCATTTTGAGAGTGGTTTATGCACACTGAACGTCTGTTGTGTTAAAGATTTGAACTGGTTTCTGATCACTTATACCGGTTTATATGTAATTTCTGTCTCTAGCCAGGAAGTGCAGTGAAATATGAGCAGATGTACATTCAAGCAGCTTAACAGGTGTTAAATGCCATCATGTCATAAAAAAGTCATTCCCTTTCAAGAGAGGGTTATCTTCTAACACGTACTAACTTTTAATACCCCACAACTTTCCAACAATTTTCAAGTTTCAAGTCAACATGTAACAAGGCAAGTGTTGCAAGGAACATGTGGCATAGCTTATTGGGTTGGGATGAAGTAAATCTATTCACATTTCCTTAACTGGCCTGCTTGGAGACCTCAGGGGCATCACCCCTATTCCTCCCTGACCGAATGAAGGGGGGAATGGAACTTTCTTCATATTTTCAAGTGTTTTGACACTAATGGATAATTGTGCTAAGAGCAAAGAAGTGGTTTCTCATGTTGGGCAGCAGTTTTAAAAGTATCTAAGTTAAACACCTCCCTCCCTTGTGCTTGCCAAAATCTCACCTGATGATCTTCTTGTGTCTCACCTTCTCATTAATTTTAATCCTTCTGAGCCTGTGAGCATAATCGGGGACTGTGAGCTCAATGCGCAACAAACACACGCACGCAAATTCCTTTAGAGACATAATCCGTTTAATAAATATGACTGTAAAAGCAATAAACAATAGCAATTATACCTTACGCTACGTTGTCTTTAACCAAGAAAAGAAAAGTACATCAAAAAGTCATTTTAAAATTAGCAGTAGTTCGAATACTATAAGAAAACTTTTTTATTTTATTTTATTTTATTTTAATTGGCTCACTATAAAAATAAGTTGGCTAACATTGGACTTCAGTGGGGAATACTGTACAGGCACTGCCAGAACCTTCCCATCTTTCTTAAAACTGTAATTGCAAACACAACAGCAAAGCCATGCAAGCTCTTGTGATAAAAGGATATTTTGTGGGCTCTCCACCATTGGATGTTTTGAAGGAGATGGGTGCGGACTAGTGCATCCTACATCTGTGCAGGGGGCTGGGCTAGATGCCCCTTGAGGCTCCTTCCCATCCCGTGATTCCACAATTGCTATCACGTGTCTCCAGAAAGATTAGGATAAAGGACAGAGAAATCTGTGAGGCACTGAGCCATCGATTGGAGGAAGACTGACATTCTCCCTTTTGACGTCACCTTTTCTTAGAAAATAGGGCCAAATCCTGATTTTTCATCAAGAAATTCAAGCTGCCTCCAGCTTGTAATTCCAACTTAGTTGAGCGCTCTGAATGCCTTTCCCTCGTGGTGCTATGTGCAATGCCTTTCAGGCAAAATCCTGTTACTAGGAAAGTAGAATGAATACAGACAGGGTCTGGTCATGCTCGCTTGGATGGCAGCCCTGATTGTTGGGGTATCTTCCAAAAATTATCCCCTTGCTAGGAAATGAAGGACATGTCTGCATTGCAATCAGCATGGGTAAGCAATACCCACCCTAGCTTCAATCTAGCTGGTGTGGATCCTGACAGCAGCAAAGACGCATGGCATGGGCTACACTAAATTTTCCGAGTCCCGCGTGGGCTTGTACAGCCCAAGTTTCTGCAGCGTCATCGCTCTCATTACCCCAACTGGGCCCTACTGTAATTGCACCTCCTGGATGCAGGGCAGCTGGGACAAATAAGAATGAACTATGCCTGTTGTTCAGCGTAATAGCTGTTTGCTACTGGCTAACCAGAGGCCAGACATCTACTGGTTGCATCGTAGGCCATTCACCGATCTGGTCAGGGTGGTCAGGGCAGTAGGGTGGGAGTCTAGGTCACTACTCTGGCTCAGTGGTAGAAGCTATCTAGGGTCAGGTCCTGCTTTTGTCTATCCCTGCGTCACCTCATGAACACAGTACACTATCTGGGTGTAAGAGGGCATAGTCGCCAATGCTGGGCCCACAAGGAGACACACCGGGCTCTCTCCACCGATATTTTACCGTGAGGCTCTGGATGGTGGCAAACCTCAGTTTGATCACCTCCTGCAGAGACCTTTGAGCAACTGAAACATGGCTGAGATCAGCCGGAGGGCGAGTCATCTGAGTGCCTTGTTCATCTTTGTCTAGACCAAGAGGGATAGTGCGATGCTACCTCCTGAATACATCTTAGTTAAACGCTTTTAAAATCCCAGGGTAGCCACAGCACCTGGCCTATGACACATACCTGGTCAAGCCAAAGCCTAGGAGAAAGATCAGGCTGTCAGCCTGAAGAGGATTCTGGGTGTTTGCCCCCCAGCAGCTCCCTACCTATGCAAGTAGGCTGAACAGTCCTCTCCGAAAGAACTTGGCTTTGCCACTTAGGATATCAATATCTAGCTTCATTATAAGCTGCAGCGAGCAGTTCCAGACCGAGGAAGGAGGACGAGAAAAGTGAAAGGCCAAACAAAGCCATTAAAACAAACCAACCCAGAAGCACCGTGGTGTCTTTAGACTCCCATGTATGTTCTCGTGTGTCTTAGGAAAGTTGGCTGGGGTTGCTAATCTACCCGCAGACTGAAGTGCTAAAAGAGTAATTGAATCTAAAGCCAAGAACCCTTAACCCCCCCCCGACCCCTAAAAAGACCCCATGCATATTCTTGGCATATATCTTCATGAATCTTCTACAAATAAGAGACATCAGAAAAACAAAGAAGTTTGGAGGGGAGAAGGGAACGGGGTACAAGAAGGGAATTGTGATTTAATTTCTTCCCCCGTTAAAATAGAGCACCTGTACAATGCAGTTCCAAATATGGTCTCAGTATAATGTCCACATGCACAGGATTAAAGCTAAAAACCCTTTGTCTGAAGAATTAAAAAGTCCAAATGCGGTGAGTTTTCCTTTTTTTTATATATATATATATATGTATATATATATATTTATACTGGCGTCCTCAATTCAAACATTTACATAGGTAGGGATTTCTTTTGTGCTTTGAGTCTCAGCAGCTATGGAAATACTTCCTGTGGCAAAACAAAACAAAAGCAAGAGTTAAACAACACAGCGTTACTCACAAATGAAATGTTTGAAGGTATCACAATTGTTTGCTTTATTTTATTTTTTTGCATTCAATTCGTTCCAGATTGACACGTTCTTCTCCAAAACTTTCTCTTGCCACTTAGAAGGCTGTCTTTTTCTTTTCCGAACGAAAAGGATTCACCCACGTCAAAGACAAGAGAGGCAGAGCAGGGAAGGCAGGGGTGGGAAGGAAGCCGTGCCCTTATGAGCAAGTCCTGACTCATTTAGTGGCATTTGAACTGAAAAGGTATTGGAGACATGACAACCCGCTGTAAGATCTGCCTCTGCAAAAGTCGGGACCTGCTGCTCAAATGCAGCATGGAGACGCTCGGCTTTGTGCAACCAGAGGTAAGGAAGAGAAGAGAATGAACCCAGTGATGTTCACGTGGAGTCTTGCAGGGCAGAAAGATTGGATGATACTCTTCGTTTGTGAAAGCAAGTGTATATTTGAAAATAAAACACAAGCAAGAGAAAGACCCAATTACCTACGTTGCCTTCTTTTCCCCACAAGAAAGACAACTCATCAGAAAAAACGCCTAATCCTGGAGAGGTTTACTGTCCATGTCTAGTATAAGCCTCTGGGCTTTGCATACCCCAACATCCACCTCTAGATCATTGCACTTTCTCAAATATTTGGTTTCCTTACTCACCCCCTTGAAAATGCTTCCATTTTTTGGCACTGGGTAATTAAAGGGTTGCTTCTTCCCCACCGTGACCTGCTCCTCCCTCATGTGCATGCACTCTGCAACCCTAGTGACTTCAAGGAGGGTCTGCAATGCCTGTATCAGGACAATGCATGAGACATATGGTGCAGGGATAATGCAGCAGATCGAGCTGGGGAAGAACCGTTGCAAAATTTGGACGTCTATGTCAAAACAAGAGCTTCTGTAGCCAAACTGAATAAAGTTGGGCTGCGTCCCCCAGAGCAGCTGAGGTAGGCTCAGATGACCCACAGAAAGGTGGTATATTTAGTTGGCTTTCTGCTGTTAGGGCCTTCCAGGGATGAAAATGGCCTCCAGCCTAAGTTTAGCTGCCTCAGGGCAGTTCTGTCTTCTTCTGGCAGGTGACAGCTTTGAAACTGCTTTCTTGGCCAAAATCTTAGCACGCTGCACTTTGAACTTGTCCCCTCCTTCCTTTAGTTTACCTCCTCCCTTACTCTCTCTAGGGTAGCCCATGCCAATGCTCCTCCATAATGAAGGATTCTCCTCCTAGGAACTCCTTAGCGGGTGCCTTAAAACAGCTTTATGCCCGCTTTAGGCCAGCAGAGCAGGGCAAGGCAAGCAACTTGGTTTCTTTTTGTTTAAAAGGGCGATTTATCTGTGCTCCTGCCAATGCAACAAAAAAATGTTATATTGCTCTAAAATTAGTCCCCATCCTTACTCCTATGGGTCAGTCCTTACTTGTGCAAACCTCTTGGACGTCCTTGGTGGGACACCCGTCACGTGGCTGAACGCTACTCGAATGGGTGCAGGGCTGACACTTGAGACGCCTCATCTAAATGGCCATGCACAGAAGGTACATGGCAGCCTCCTTTGGTGGAAATCACCAGCCTCACAAATAAAGGGAAACACTGAATTTAACTTCCCCCTGCACCCATACAGGCTCCCCAGTTTAGCAAAATACTTCAACGTGCACTTGAATCTTTTTGATCCTCTCTTTGTGCCATGAAACAACTGCAGGGACTTCCTCAGCCTGATGAAGGGTTTTTAAACCCGAAAGCTTGCTAAAAAATGTGTTCCAACTATTTAAGTTGGTTTCATAAAAGGTATCAGATTCACCCAAAGAACCTTGTCTGCCTGTGAAACAAAGGTGGCATTTTCCATCGTTTCTGCTTTCTAGCCTCGCTCTTCTATCCCAGTTACCCCAGTGTTACTGAAGTGAGGTTAATGGGGACTGCACCAGAGTAAATGAGAGTGATTTGTATCATTGGCAATCTCTTTATTATGGTGCTAACTAAACCCTGGCGCTGCATTTCCAGTCTCACCAGTCTGCAACCACTGCTGGTTCTTCCTCTGACAGAAGTCAGCTTGATGGCTAACCATGCAGTCTAACACAGAGGTCCATATTTCTCACTGGTCCCCGGGGGTTAGCTATCGTGTTTTCATGCGTTGCCCTGCCATTTGAAGCAGCTTGATGCCCCAATACATGTCCCCCTTTTCTGCCATTCGCAACCTTGTCCTCCAGTATCTACCACCCCTGTTCCTTATCTTGTACCTTTTGGATGGGAGACAAGGCTCTTGTTGCAAGGTGTTTGTGAAACTACTCAGTGAACCCTCATATGGCTCTTCACAATACCGCACGCAGAGGAGTCGTATAAGGCAAGATCCCCAAAGCCTGAGCTTTCAGGTTTTACTTACCAAGTCTCCCTCCTGTCCCCACAGACCAGAAATAGGAGCTGGGCCCTCTTGCCTTAAGTGCTCTGATCTAGTCCTTAACCCCACAATTACCCAGAAACTAGATAACGTCCTCCCTGGCAGCACAAGTGAATGACGACGAGATTACAGAGCCCTCAAAAGGAGAGAGCTCTGCATGGAAAAGCTACACAGAGGGGTGGGATGGGGAGGGAGAGGACTCAGGCACTTAATTTCTCTTTCATCCTGAGTAGGTGGGGGAGGAGAAGCAGTTAGCTCGGTGTCTTTCAGAGGAGTTAAAAAAGCAGCAGAAAAGGGAGTGCTCTTGGAGAGGAAGGGAAAGGTTTCGCCAATTAGAAGCTGACCAGCTGTTGGCCGCTGGAGGTTATTTACCTATGGCCTGGGTATCCAGCTTCTCAGCTACTAGTTGCTCTGGGCTCATCAGTCCATTTTGAGGGACATTAGGCATGCTTTCCCTTGGACTGACTGGACTGACCATCTCTTGATCTTTCTCATTCTGCATCTGTGCATAAACATTAATGCCCGGGATCTTCCTAAAACATTAACAGAAACTGTCATTGCCGTGAGCGCTACAGACCGCGGTGCAATTACGCTTCTTCGACCAGAGTCCAAGATGACAATGGGGAGAAGGTGAGGGGAAGGGGAGGGAGGGGTAGGCCGTACCTTTTGAACTTGTAAATGACAAACACGGCTAGGCCCACAAACACCACGGAGAGCAGCATCAGCATGGCCGAACCACTGTGACTGGGAGTGAGGTCCACCAGAGGAGCTATGAGAGAGGAGGAGAACTTTAGAGCATCCACCCTCATGACCACTCGTCCGCAACGGTGCCGTGACCATCCTTTCATGGTCTAAAACCTGGGGATGCACATCCCCAGGCTGTCCAAGGGGTGGGAAACCTCTATTCAGGAGGCAGGCAACCTGCAGTGCTCATTGCACCTCTACACGTGCAGAGGGGCTGCTCTGATGCATCATAATTACAATGTGACAGAGCAGACTCGATTAATCGTGGTAATTGCCGTTCTCCAGCAGACTCCAGCGTCATGTGTATCGGCTTCCCCACACTGAAATATGATGGCAGGGGTGCTTTAACTAAAGCTCATTCGATGAGAGCCCTCGCCACCGTTTTTTAGCATGGGGACGCTGATACATGTGATGTTTCAGGTGCTTTAATTAGAGCAGTTCTTGGAGCCGCTGCAATTAAAGCACCCCCTTTCCACCTCCCAGAGCACGTCTATAAATGCCCATAACTATTCCTACAGTCTCCTTTAAGCTTCTGTTCAACTTTCAGATAGAGGGCAACTTTATTAATTCATTTAAAGTTTTACTGGATGTCTGGGTACCTAGTTAGAGAGATTTTAACTGCTTTCTGTCAAAGCCAGAGTGACTGAAGCCAAATGTGTGTTAATGTGATGTTATAGGCTCAGGTGCGTTGCTCAGTTGTGTCCCTTACTCTCATGAAGCCTCCCTCTCCCCCTTTGACACTGCCTTCATATCTTCACAGTGTTTCTTTTAATACCCTTTGCTTTGAAAATCCTGACATGGGGAGTATGGGACATTTCCCCCTTTTCTGCCATTCGCAACCTCGTTCTCCAGTATCGACCACCCCTGTTCCTTATCTTGTGCTTTTTGGATGGGAGAGAAGGCTGTCATTGCAAGATGTTTGTAAAACTTCTGCGCAATCCCCCGTGAACCCTCGTATGGCTCTTCACAATACCACATGCAGGGGAGCCATATAAGGCAACATGATATATCCTGACAGTGACACAATGGCACCCCCCCAAAAAAAAGGTAAGTTAAGTACAAATAGGGACACAGACACCATACCCAGGTGCACACACCACAGACACATGAGGGTTACAGAGAGGTGCACTCACAGAGCAGACATGACCATTTCTGCAAACACACTGTTGTATATACTCTGGTACAAAACAGATCATGGTCACAGGAGCACAGGATATAGAGTAGTAGTATGCACAAAACACACACATGTACACACATGCTTGAGGGGCTTGCTTCTGCACAGAAAATTTGCACGCTGAGAGCCAACACATACACACACACACACACTGCAGAGCATTTGTTATTCACACACATGTGCACAAAACACATGTATGAGCGGACACACGCATGCACACACACTTATCTGCATGTCTTCCCAGACACAACTCACACACAGGCGCAGAGCAATCATATGCAGCTAGGCAGATGTGGAGCAATCTGAGTTTGGAGTGCCAGCCAAATAAGAATACATGGAAACCTTCACAGTGATGTTCCAGTTTTACCGAAGTTCCTCTCCCGCAGGATTAGCATCATTATTAGATAATACTTGAAGGCCGCACATTTCTGTATTCATGCCTTTGTGCCTCTCTGTGATGACAAAGTATCTTACTGACTACTTCAGGCTCAGCATTACTCAGTGTTCTGGTTATAATGCTGTGGTTGGAGTCTGGTAATAAACAGCTCTTTAACGGCCCAGTACAGAATATTGGCGTATTTTACTTTCCCTTATGCTAGTGGGTTCTTGTTGGTTTGTTTGCTTTGCAGAGAAGCGGCAATGAATGTGATGGATGGGCTGCAATCTGTTGTCCAGAATTACCATAAATTAATCCTTCCCCAGTTAAGGCCTAAACAAGAGAGACAGAGCTGCAAAAGTGCTGAGTCCTCTACCTGTCATTCTTCATGTGCATGAGAGCACGCACTCTGTAGCAATGAATGGGCAAATGTACTTCAATATGCAGAGTTAGTTTGGATAACACCACGTTTTGCTTCCAGCACCAGCAAAAGCAATCCAAGTTGTGTGCATGTATACACACACAAACATACACACACACACACGCACACATGCCCTCCCCCGTCACAGCTGACTTTCAGATGGCTTAATGTACTGCAAATAACTATCTATTGTACTGCAGAGGGCAGGGTAGGTATTGTACTGCTGAGGTAGGTTTGCAGAGCAATGCTTTTTCCTTGCAGCTGCAAGTATTCAGACCTCACTGAAGTCATAAGTGGGAATGACTGGAGATTTGGGATCAGGAAGGAATTTTACCCCGTGGTCAGACTGGTATGGCTTATTGGAGGTTTTGCCTTCCTCTGTAGCAGGGGACATGGTCCTCTTCCTTGGAGCTTTTGAGTACATGCTAATAACCTTTGCAGCAGCAAAACACTGATGGCTTCCCTCCCTCCGTTGCTTAATAAGTTAAGCTACATTTAGTGTCTTGGGCCAATATGCCTTGTAGTTTGGTGACAGCATTGATTGTGTAGTTTTAGGACTAAGTTAGACAAGGACTTGTATGGGATAGATGGATGGGGATGATCCTACCTCAAGCCAGGGGTTGGACCTCCAGGGGTCCCTTCCAGCCCCATTTTTCTCCATTTTCATTCTTTTGTTGGGAAGATTCCAGTGTTCTAGATATTCATCCAGGAAAGAAAAGCTGACCAAAATTACTTGTGTTTTCGTCCCACAGGCTAAATACAGACAGTCAAAAGCCTGAGGCTGAATCGATTCAATCTTTGCAGGTTAGCCTAAGCTGTGCAGATGGAACCGATAAGCAAGTGAACAGACATTCACTTTTGATTCTGGAAATGCAGCCACATGCCTGCAGTGACCTAAGCCAGAAGCTGGGGGGAGCTAGAGCACATCTCCCTGCTTGGCTGGAGTAAACAGCTTCGGCCCAGCCTAGCCCACCACTGTAAGATGCGAGGTTCATAGGAAAGCTGCAAAGCATCCTGGGATGCCGGGGGACTGTGAGTTAACTTGAATCTAGAGGGGATCTGGGGCAGAATTTCAATATACTGATTTAACCTAAATCCATGAAGTCTTATCCACCCAGGCTTATCTTAAACCAGTTTTCGCCATTTTGAAAGTAGTTCATGTGCACTGAACTTCTGTTGTGTTACAGATTTGAAACTGGTTTCCAATCACTTATATTGATTTATGTGTAATTTCTGTTTCTAGACTCCGGGTGCATCTACATGTCACCCTACAGTGACGTAGCAATCACGTGTGTCTACACGTGATTGCCACTACATCGCTGTAGCAGCCATCTCCCACAGTTTCGTGTGCCGCTACGGGGGCATTGCTGGGAAATGTACCTGTGCGCAGCACACACGTATGGCACGGCACCATAGCAATATCACTACATGGTAACGTGTAGGCACGCCCACTGTTTTCAATATGGATGGGAAGTGTCAGTTCCTGGATTATGGAAAACATCTACATTTTTAACAACCTGAAAGAGTTTCTTTGCTAGAATCTGGGAAACATTCAGTGCGCGTTGCAAACCTTAGATTCTCCTTGTATTTAAGGAAGTTTGGAAATAGGTCTTGTTTCTGATTGATGTCTAATATATACTCTGGGGAACAACAGCCCCTCTGTGGCCCAGAGATGAATATCTAATGTTCCTTTGTTAGCTCTGTTTTCTATGCTTCTCCCATATAATTTATCATTGGAAAACATGTCAAAAATTTTCAGGACCAGTGAAAGAAATGAGTCCCTAATAACTAAAAGCTAATGCCTTAAAGTTTAGAACCTGACCTTCCTTTAAATTTACTCTCACACATTCCCTGCAATCCTTTCTACTTGATACTTACACATACAACATTATCATTGGTTTCACTATACACTGGATGTGAACAGGGGCAGAATAAAGCCAAGACAAAGACATGTTGGGATGCCTTCCTTTTGCAAAGATTGGCCTGGAGGCTAAACCTGAGGTGCCTTTAAAAGTAGCCTTTTAACATTGTGAAAATCAGGGTCCTTTGGTAACGTAATGTTTAAACACTCAGGTTATTAATATTTGTTCCTACTAATAGCCAGTCTTAAGACCCAAACTATGCAGTGCCCTGAAGCATCCATGGAGCCTGCTTTTTTTTTCCTTTTTTTTTTTTTAACAGAGATCAAATTACATGTAATGCCTAGGAATTTTGGAGGGGAAAAATAACATATTAATTTCTCATTTAGAGATGAAGAATTTATGGAGTGTTTCCATTCAGAAGCGGTGGGTTTCTCAAAGCAGACAGAGGATGATCTGTTCTTTAGTTAATGGAGATACAAGGTCATATTCAAGGGGAAGTGATGAGCAACTGTTGCTTTGGAGACACAAAAAGTTGTAAACATAAAGTTCCTATTGATATTTAAACCTGGGATGAACTTTGCACTTTCCCTAGAACCCTTTGTCCTTCCTCTTCATGGGCACTTTAGCACTGCTCACTTGTCCTGCAGAGAGCTCTCCATAATGGACTTGCAAAACCATTTGCTGGAGTTGCTGCTTGCCTAGATGCCAATGAACTGGGCAAGTTGAATAGCCCAGAAGAGAAACCTGCTGTTGACAGATCAGCAATCAAATTGCATTCTCATTCTGGAGTCGACGGCTCCCTTTTCCCAGAAACGTTAGATAGGACCTAATAAAGAGATTTCAAGGTTAACCTCTCTGCCCAAATACCTGGTGGTGGTGAATTGACATTAGTTCAGCTAAGGTTCCTGACTGTGCAGTGGAATAATTGAAAGCCCAACTGCATGGGCAGGGTCCATTTAAGCCTTGATAGAATATTAAATGTCCTGTGAGTGGTGCTGAGCCTTTCCTATTTTCCACTGATTTCAGAGGACTAGTATGTGCCTAATATAGTGCTCTGCCCTGGTTATATGATAACTTTTGCAACACCTAACTCATGTTGAATGTACCATGTCCATCCATGTAAAATGCAATACTCAGTCAATGAATATTCCAGGAACATCCAAGGCGATTGTACTGGCCAAGGGGCTAGCTATGCCCGGCACATCCACATAAAATGTATCTGCTCAACTGATGGATGTGCCAGCTACATGCAGGTAGCACTCCCCTCATATACTGCTGATTAGACTGCAAGTCCATATCAATAGCAGACATTAGCACTACATGTGCAATGGAGGACCTGCTTCAAATATAAATAATGCAGTTGCAATGCCATATTTTATCCCATGCAGCAAGCACCTTTCCCCCTAAATTTCACTGTTGGGGTGGGCATTATAATCAAGGAAATAGGGCAGCAGTTTCTGCTGCTTAAGCCTCTACCAGAGGGAAGTGAAGTAGAGCTGCACATGGTACATGCAGGGCTCCCTCGAGCTGGCTATGAATACCGTCTCTTTCCTCCTTGGGAGAGACACTCATGAAAAGATAGATAGATAGATAGATATCTTTTCATGAGTGTCATTTAGCCTTTTGGAAAGGCTGAATGAAAAAATATATATATATATATATATTTTTTTTTTTTTTCATTTAGCCTTTCCAAAAGAAGGTGCATATTTTATTTAGGGGCATGTTGTATGTCAGAAAATATGGCAATGTAAGCAAATTCTATGGTGCGTGCATATAAATTGGGTGGTATCTACAGAAACAGCTGAGCTGTTATTGCTTATTGCAGTTCTAGGGTACTGGAAGTGTGATTGATAGCCGGCTGATCCCACTGATTCCTCCTATCAGGAAGTCTACAACTGATTATACTACCAAACAATGGACAGGGTTTTGAAGGGGTGAATACTGACCTGCTGTTAAGTGTGCAGCATGGACAAGGATTCGAACTCCTGGCTTCAACTCAAACTGGACGAAGTTTTGGTTCAGTTTGTGGATCAATATTTCCGAAATCTGGAAAAAAGGAGACCAACCCCCCCACAAAAACAGGTTTGTAATTTTTTTTTTAAACCCAATTACTTTAAATTAATGATTGCTATGTGGAAAACAAGGCCATCTGCAAGGCAAAGGTTTTACATAGGGAAAGCATGTTCCCAGCACTAGATAACAAGAAACTTGTTGTATCACCTTGTAAAGAAACACAATACAGCAGATACGAACAGCTGGTGGGGCTGTACAGATGTTTGGGTCCGAGTAGAAGTTATTAATAATGACAGGTTACATGAACAACTGTACTCATACAGGCAGGCCTGCTGATGTAAAGGGACTATTTCCACGTGAAATATTAGTCATGTGCCTAATTGTTTTGCTGGGTCAAGCTAAGAACAAGAAACTCAAGTACAACTTAAAGCTGCAATGGCTAAAACTCACTGGGTCATACTCACTATGTGGTGGGAAGTCAGATGAGATGATTACAATGGTCCCACATAACCTTAAAGATGTCCAAGTCACACTGAAGTTATTCTACTGAAGGCAATAATGATCTACCAGAAATAAACTGGGCTCCACGTTTTTCAGGCAATGCAGCAGACCTGGTATTTAAACAGTACTTTCCCACCCTTGTACCCATGCAGAATCTATTCATATCAAGGGTATCAAACTTCAGGGTCAAACTTGATGTAAAGGTTGCTTTCCTGAATCTTCCATCTTGTAGACTCTTCACGTGACCTACCTTAAAGAGCCTACAACATAGAAAAACAGAGTAGAGAGAATGAAGCTATATGAAAAAATTACGTATCGTACTCAGTCGCGTGTTCTCCTAGGACGCTTGCTTGCATCACTTCCTCCAGATGTCTCATCTATCGCATCTCTTTCTCAGAGTAGTGAGCAATTTTCCACTTTATTAGCATATACAAAATTAGGGGGGTGCATGTGTGGGAGAAGCAGCTGGAAAACTCTAAAATAACTTCAAGAACGAATGCTGAGAATGTTGTGTTTTCACCGCCAAGTTCAAGAATGGGTAGATACTTGTGCTCACCACTTAATTTAATTTGGCTTAAATACATCTTTATTCCTTTTTAGGATTAATGAAGAACCATCAGGGAAAAGTGCTTTTCCATAATTGTCATACCATTTTTTTCATGTTCTTCATTTTCATTGAGTTGGGTTATTTCAGTAATGCCACCCAGAAGCGATTAGATGTTCTGTGGTGCCTGTTCATCACAACAAAAGATTTATCTCGGGTTTTTAAATTCTTAATGATTCTTTCAATACTCTTGGCTCCTGCATTGCATTTTGGCAACTGCTTACTTGAACTGGTGCCCTTGGTCCAATATCAATTTGGCAACAGCTGACAATGAGCCTTTTATTTATATGTTTAATACATCTTTTTAATCCTTGTAATTCTTTTTGGTGGTACAAGAACGTGCTGAAAATGTATTTCTCCCAGTAGTCAGAATAAATACCATTAGCTTATAAAGATCCAGCTGCATGTGGTTGACTGGCTGAAGGCAAATCAACATGGTAGAGAGGGCAAGACTATCTATATGCAAAGAAAACATGGAGTGCAAGTTACTGTGGTCTTTAAGTACTCCAGCAGGTTAATACACAGGACTAACAACTCTTAGGTTACCTAATCTTCCACGAACAAGTGGCAGATGGCGATGGGAGTTCTTTACAACTATGTTCACTAACAGCAAAAGACTGTTTCTAGATAACACATTTGAGTGGGAACAATTTTCATAGCTCTAGAAAGATGTTCTTTGTCATCTGAGCTGCAGCCAAGACCAAGCAATGTTCAACCACAACGTAGTTTTCATACAAGCTGCAACAAATAGTGAAGTAGACCCATTAGGCCATCCATGCTACGAAGCCTTGCACTGGAGATTACCACCCAGGGGCACTGAATAGCCAGGGAGGTTGAAGGTTGCCAGGCAGGTTGTGGAGGGAGAAATATTGCAAATCTCAGTCCTGGTGAACAGTGGAGTTGGGCTGCAACTACTCTGACTATGCAACAGTGCCTCAAGGAGGAGAGAACATCATTGCTGACTTAGCAGTCAACAATGATTTGGTCAGTGATTGTGCACAGGATGGATGAGTTGCAGAAGCTGGCACAGGTCAACTTACAGAGCCCAGTGTCTGCCTGGCACAAGCACAGTTCAAAAGCATGAATATCTCACCTGTCCTGAGCAGGGATGCATGGTAGGTGGATTGAATAACACTGAACTCCAGTATAAAAGATACAGCCTTTGTCCAGAAGAGCCGGGATATTACAGTTCCAGGTCTGTAGCTAAACTCTTGCTGAAGGCAAGCAACATGAAAGACAAAGACCCAAAGCATGACCTTTGCCCTTGGATGGCTGACAACCACAGTGACAACGTCTCCTCCAAATGTAACTCAGACATCGCCTGACCCCCCCACAAAAAAGAGTTCATAGGATCGGAGGCATTCTCAGCTTTGAAACTTCAGCCATTATTGCCTGCCCTTGATTTCACTATTCCCTGGTTCTCCTGTGCTACAAGATCAAATGCCTCCTTCACTAGAGAGTTGTCTGTGGCAGCCTTCTGATACTGCACACCACTGCACACCTTTCAGACATGCATGCAAGAAAGGGAACGGCAAGGGGTGGCATCTTTCTCAAAGCCACCCTCCTGGTTTTTTGAAGCAAGCCTGGCTCTATTGTTTTGTTTCTCCACCTTACAAATCCCCTGCACACAGAGAAGCAGCATCACAGCACTATATTATCCCTTGCGTCTGCCTTCCTGCTTTGACCACATGACTTATAGGACTCTGGCATGAAGAACATCAGATGAGATGACAGGGCCCTGATCTCTGCTGGAAAATGCTTTGAGATCTGTTGATGAACACTGCTATGTGAGCACTAATATTAATGATTATAGCTACCAAGCCCTTTATGCTCTATCTGCAGATTAAGGAAAGTGATTCTTCTCCTCTATATGGCACTAGTGAGGCCACATCTGGAATCCTGTGTCCAGTTTTGGACCCCAGCACCGGAAAGGATGCGGACAAGTTGGAGAGAGTCCAATGGAGGTCAACCAAAATGGTTTGGGGACTGGGGAATGTGATTTAGGAGATGAAGCTGAGGGAGTGGAGCTTATTTAATCTGGGGAAGAGAAGACTGAGAGGGGATTTAATGGCAGCCTACAACTACGTAAAGAGCGTAGCAGCCTTCAACTACCTGAAGGGTGGTTCCAAAGAGGATGGAGCTGGACTGTTCTGAGCGGTGGCAGATGGCAGAACAAGGAGGAACAATCTCAAATTGCAGCAAGGGAAGTTGAGGTTAGATATCAGAAAAAAAACTTTCTCACTAGGAGAGTAGTAAAGCACTGGAACAGGTTATCCAGAGAGGTGGTGGACTCTCCATTCTTGGAGGTTTTTAAGACAAAGCCTTGGCTGAGATGATGTAGCTGGGGGTGGTCCTGCTTTGAGCAGGGGATTGGACTAGATGGCCTCCTGAGGTCCCTTCCAACTGTAATTTCCTATGATAAATAATAACATAATAGCATCATCCAAAGTTCCCACTTAGGTTCAGGACCCTGAGACACTGTGTGAACCATCTGTGAAGTCTATGTAGACAAAGAACAGACATGGGGCTGTAGCACTAAAGCAAACAAGGGGGTAACTGGTGCAATTTTTGTTACTTTTTTTGGTTAATTGAGACAGAGATAGGGTGAAAGGGAGGCTGGAATGGGGCAGCTGCTTTAAGTA